TTACGTATGGCACCGTCAGGCAATTTGAAACTGCTCTTTTAAACAGCAGTTGTGAGTCGCGAGTTCTTATTTCAATAGGCAGACTGTTCTAGATCTCAGTGTATCTGTTTATGAAGAAATTTGTTTTGGACATTTGTTTTGTTTTGAACACTGGGAGTTTGTTCTTGGTATTTATAATTGCGTAATTACGCACTTTTTGCAGTGTGTATTGATTTCTGACGATAAAACATGTTTATGGATCAAATCAAAGTGGAATGTTACGCCAAGTAACATGCGTCTTAACCACAGTGGCTCCAGTTGCTACATCTGACAACGTTCCGAGTAGTTAAGTTTAGATCAAAAATTAGAGAGCCTTTGTGAGTGATCGCTGCACCTTTCTATGCACATGCGGTCACGTTTTATGCTACTTGTAAAGAAAATTAAGCAGTATTCTAATACAGGGGTAACGCATTCTTCAAACAGGCGCGCTTCATGTTGACGCATCGAAAACGGTAAACTAAGTTTTGCGCTTCTTCATGATCTGGTCATTGTGAGTTCAACTTGTTCACCAAAATTCAAAGTGTTAGAGCACCGGATCACTAGATCTCACATAGTCTTAATAGAGGGGGTGGGTTTAACACCAAGGTAAAGTGCATTCGGCGAAAGTTCGCACTTGCATGTTAAATTATTTCGCTTGTCCGCTGGGAAAAGACATTTGCCAGTCAGTACACCACGAATCCAAGAGCAATAAGTTTATGTGAACGTTTTCTAACGGATCGCTCAAACACCGGATTTCAAACGTGCATCGTATTTTTATATTGATCGCAAAGGTATAGGGAGCTCTAAAAGTTATTTTTGCTTAGTTATTGCATTGATTTGCACAAGGAAGAGCAAGGGACGTAACACACTTTACTGAGTCACAACAATTATAATCTTCAATGGAGAAGACTTAGCATGTCCTATTTATACCTGCTGCCTGCGAGCAGAAAAATGAGATTTAATGCCTGATTGCAGGGGATAAGGAATTCAGAAATTACTTAAATTTACCAAGTGGTTCAAACTTAGACAAGGAGAATCCGCAGTGCGTTTGGGTTGCTGCAAGTAACCTCTGTTGCGACCTCAGTTCATCGAGTTGGACCTCGGTCATTCTGATCAAAAGGACTGTTGGAAAAATGAAAATGTTATGGTGTTGCTCTTTCCAAAACTGGCACCTCACGACCGTGGTTTCGTCCTGGTTTGGACTCATCAGGTGGAGGTTGCCTGAGCTGGGCTGAAAATCAGAGGCTAGTGGAGCACGCTTAACGCAATAAGCACTATGCCACTGAGGTTCGTGAGCAACGCTTGGTACGGCGAAAACGAAATCAAATTTGGAATTGGAGAATATGCTGATGAGTCCAAACCAGGACGAAACCGCGGTCGTGGGGCACCAGTGTTGTGATGAGCAACACCACAATATTTCTATTTATCTACGGTCCCTATGATCGGAATAACCGAGGTTCACTTTAAGTGTACCGAGGTCTCAATAGAGGTTGCCTGTAGCAACCAACCATACAGCGGATTCTCCAAGTCAGACGTTGAATTCGTTTCCCCTGTATAAAGCATTGCTCGCGGAGCTCAGTGATCTAGTGACTATAACGTCAACCGTTAGCCAATAGGTTTTGATTTTCAGCCCAGCTCAGGCCATCTTTACCTGATGAGTAAAAACCAGGGTGAAACTGTGGTCGTGGAGTGCCAGTTTTGGGATGAGCAACACCTAACTATTTCGATTTGAATTCAGTATTAGCTACAATTAGATTCCGGTTACTAATGAACTACCGGGCAACCTCAGAGATGTTGAACTTCAGCAATATCGGGCGTTTTTGTGTGAATTCTTCCGTAGTCTCACAACAGCGCAATCTGCGTCACATATGGGAACTGTCGATAGAAGTTTATGTTTTAATTCATTCGCCGGGTAGCTATCCTGAATATTAAAAGTGACAACATATTCAGAACGTGTAAGCCTGTCGTTAACTTCAGTGGCAATAGTAGCTATGAAGTTACCGGCTGTATCCAAGTGTTCAGTGCATTGGGTTTTGGGGCGAGTCCAGAATGTACCTTAGTGGCGTTAGCTGTCTTACGATTGATTCCACAGCATTCATTTGGTCTTGAGGACTCTTTACTCTGTTTCCAAAGATGATATTTTTTACTGGACACCACAATTGCTGTGTGCACCTTTTGAGCGTGCCTTGTTTGCAATGTTTTCAGGGCAACCGGTAGGGTCTGTGCCTTTTGTTTCGCACCTGATCTCGTCTTAGAAGCTGAGACTTGTAGTCATTGTGGCTTACACCAATACTAAAAAGGGATTATATAGAAAGGGAGAGTTCAAGATCTAGGTTGTAGATGTCTCAGTTATCTACGTTTCCACTAGGTTAGATTGAACTCATTCTGCTGTATGCGACCACGGTCAGTAATTGGGCAGTAAACCACCAATGACCGCAGTTGGTGGTGTTATGGTGTAAAGCTTCCACAATAACAAGATGGAATAGAGCAACAATAGAGGACAGAGATAATAACGCACCGTGGATGGCTTCTCCTCACTGTTCGTTGCGTGGCAATCGGCACTGGTTTGAGGTCAGATGTTTGCGTCCTTCGCATCAGAGGAGTCAGACGTGTCGCGTCCAGATGAGTCACACGCGCCTAGGGCAGATAGGCGACGTGTGTGTTATCGATCCGGCCGGTAAGTGGATAAGCGGCGGACAGTCGCCGCTTTGCTGTGCCGAGCAAAATGGCTTGGAAACTACTGTCTAATGGTGGCAGTAGCTGTCCGAGAGGGGACCAAATTGACAACTATCGCTGTGTACAGCGACTAGAAGGAACAGTAGTAAGGTTTTCGGATGACTGTCAAAATGATCTCTAAATAAGATCACAAGAGTGCTTGTAGGACAAGAGGATGCATAAATTGACCGATTACATTCAAACACGGATGAGTTCGAAATTGCAAAAGCACAGTTTGCTGGTAATCCGCGAATGAGAGATCCAAACGATGCACAGTAATAGGAGGAGCTCGCGAAGCCAAATCGAATGACAGTATGTAGGTCCCTGTGGGAATAAATGTGGCGATTTAAAAGCGAATAACGCAGGGGGTAGCTATTTTTGCAACGGCTCGGTGGATGCGCATATTTGTTGATGTGCATACCCCGAAAATGCTCCCATACGAGTAGATAAAACTTATTTTGACTTAGTTTGTCTTGACTATCGTCCCACTGAGGCTATCCATGTTTCCCTTGTTCCAGTACCTAAAAGTCATTGAATTCGTCCGCACTGATAATCGAGTGCGCAATCTGTAAGCACTTAGCAGCGAGTAATTTAAATTTGAAATCTTTCATTTTATCGAGTAATACTAACGAGGTATGCCACTGGAACTAAAATAATAAAATATGTTTAAACGTTAATTGAGCGCATTAGGGGTATTCCATTAATTTGACACTAAAGGTGTCCACTTCTAAGGTTGCTGAAAGTCTATACAAAACGGTTATTCAAGAAGAGCCCAAGAACAATAGTCTTGGCCCAATGTTCAGAGACCTAGTTGCGTTCCAAAATAACCATTCTTTAGTGTGACGTAATATCCACTGTACCTTATATGATTCAACTTATGTAAATACTGGTTATTTTTTCAGCCTAACTGCTTGCTCAGCCGAACACTGGCGAAATTGGGTAATTTCAAAATATCATCGAGCTTGGATTGCAACATCAGATGAATGATCACAATTTAGTTATTGCAGTGACACTTTCTCTATATTGTTTCATTTACTGTGTTATTATTTTACATTTTCGTCTGCACCCAGTGAATTTCACTTTACCTACTTTTTTCTCGTCCGCTTTTTAAAATGATTGGTGAACATCGATTTGTAGGCTATCAATGTATGTGAACAATTGTCCCTCAAAGTAGCATACATGTTGTGTTTTATTATGCACCTGTATATTAGCCTTCATCTTGTCAAAGTTACTACTCTCTTCATCTGCATTTCTTTCACCATGGAGTGTCAATACTTTCTGGAAGAACGACTAGTGGTGCTGCATTCTCAGTCACCTGTCTGTTTAATTGTTAGATCTTGATAGCAATTTTGAGAACCTATTCCGAATGGGAAGTTTCTTCGTTCATGCAGTGCCTGCTTTCTTTCTAATTTTGCAAGAATTCGCTGCTAAGAGAATTTGGTTTACTATCATCCAAAAGTCGGTTGTGCACAAACAATTTTTCCTTTCATTTGGATATGTTCCTCACAAGGTGAAAATTCCTAGTTTATTTTTTCATTACATGCAAGGAAGTCACTTAACAAAAGACACCATAGCAATTGTAGTTTAAAGCTAACCCGAGAATACCTTCCTACATTATGGCATTGTGTCTATGTCAGTATACCATGTTCAGCTATTTAAAGAGAGGTAATTCACTCATCCAATTCCGGTGGTCGTTGTTTAAATACAAAATTAGGTCAGCATGTCTTTCATTGGAACCACTGTTTGTAGGCTTCCAATCCACTGACATTTTGATTACTACGTTAAATGGATGAATAATCCAGTTCATCTTTACTTCCGGTGTGAACAGAATACCGCTTATGGCATCGTGTAGCGAATGTAGTGCGATCGCGGCCTTATCGCGTGTAGATTACATGAATGAATGAATGAATGGTAAACTTGTCAAATACACTCATTCCGATTGACGATTATGAGCACACTATTTTCCATGATGGCGTGTACGCGTGGACCGTGCATAAAGGAATATATTGCAGTGCATTAATGTCCGCACGAAATGTTCAACTCTATAGATGTGGGCTAAAATGCACGGACCAGTAAGCTCAGATGTACTTGTTACGATTCCCGGAGTTAAACCTGAAGGGCTTCCGTTTGCACACCATGAATGCACAGTGACCAACACCGTCGAACTAGGTGTAACGCAGTGATGCACAAAAGTGCGCGCTAGACTGGTCATTTCACACTGCAACTTCAGTCATTCACAGGTAGAGGCACATTTTGTTATCTAGGACAGCTGACGTCAACAGGTAGGACCTTTTTGAAAGGTACGAACGATAAGAACGTATGGACACAACAGAGACACAATTGAGCGTAACTGTAACAATCTGCTGCTTCAGCAACGAATTTGTCAAGCTAGAATTTCAGCTAATAATTGATGGGTGTTCGTTGTTGAAACAAAAAGAGGCTGATTCGGATCGGATCAAACATGCAAGCAAGTGGATTTTCCAGCTGGGCATAATTCGCAAATGGCCATTACGGAATAGTCTACCGCCGGATTGCGTCATACGGACCCAAAGGCGAGAGGCCCCAAGGCAACATTGTCAAGTGAAGTTGGTGTTGTTTATCGAGATTCAATTGAACTAGTTCCTACGTCCTCCATATCAACGTTTTCCCAGATCCAATAAATCAGTGAGTCACGTGTCTAGATTACCTGGTTGACCCGTCATTTCACTACACCAATACTATAGGTGTTACCCACGCTGTGGTATTTTTCCACTTACTGTGATTAGTCCGCCATAAGAGGTGAATCTGCCGACATACGCAGACTACCTGATTAGAAAGTGAAGTCCGTAGTGAAAGTAATTTGCAGTCTTCTGGAGTAGCAATTTCTCTTTAGATCTCTTCATATTGTCTGCTTACCCTGTTGATAAAGCTGCATGCCAATCCGTCTCAAGTTGGTGTTTTTTGTCACTTGCAACTAGTCAAAGAGGATGAAAAAGTATTAGTGCAACGTGGCTAAATAGGAGCTTAAATATTGTAATTCATCACTAGCACCACTGGTCTTTAACTTCAGGTGGTTAGTTGTCACAAAATCGTGCTCTCAGTCAGTGCATGTGACTGAGAGGTTACCGGTGAGTGACCGCTTCTTTGCCGTTCCGGTGAGACATAATTAGAATAAATTTCGATCACTCAAAAATGCTCGGTGTAGTTTAACATCCTTCATACTGCGTTACGACGATTCGGAAATGGATTTCTGGTGACTGTGAATAGTGTGCGAGACCAGCAGAAATGCATTTACGGTACATGTTAATGATACGTCGGAGGAATGTTTGTTCGTTGACAGAAATCCCTCAATGTTTCGCACTTTAACCTCCAGGACATAATAACTTTCACTCAGGGCATCACGTCCGTCAGTCTAGGAGCGTACAAATATCGGTACAGATCGTATATTCACGGTTTTAGCGAGACACGCATGTAACGGCATATTCAGGCAAATAAAGCATCTTATAGTTTAACGCTCACGTATGATCGAAATACGCACAACAGTAATGGAAATCGTTTTTCAGTTCTCATTGGGTATAAAAGTTTCCTGTTGTTTCAGGGTTACCTGATGTTGCACACGATGTCTATATCGGGCTTGGTAGGTCTCTTGAGCATATTATTACATGAATGTATAAAGTAGGCATCAGATTACTTCTTGTACATTTGTTCATAGCTATTTAGTACTATGGAATTCTGGTATTGACATTCACGTAAAACTGGAGCAAGAGGTGCACCTATAATAACTATATGTAAGACTGAACTGTGATAAAATACCAAGAACATTGACAATGACGACCAAGAAGGTAGTGTGTTTAATTGACTTCCTCCCTCATACTACACTGGTTGGTGCCAACTTTGTCATTGGCATACGTAAGAAGTAGGAAGAATGATGAAAACGGTGAGTATATGGTGCCTTACTTTTGCAATATTCGGTCTCGGTTGCAAACTGGTTTCTGGTTCATATAAATCCTGGACCTATTTCATATACTTGGCTGTTCCTTATGTAATATCCGAATAGATGGATCACTTTTTTATTGTCAAGTATTTGCTGGTCTTTTTTGAAATTCCTGCTCTGAATTGTTAGCACGGATGTCGGTTGGCAATTCGTTCCAAATTCGTGCATAGCTGTTAAGGGATAAGTTAGCGAACCGGATGATCTTCGACGGGCATTGTATTACAAAATGTTCCTTATTGCGTGTGGTGTATGATGTTGATTATACTATTAACCTGCTAAGGTTTGAACCTATATTTATTATGCAGGAAGTTAGAGAATATGATAAAGTTGTGCTTCATTCGCCTCAAACATCTGGGATCAGAATTGAGCTTCGCACATCGCTCTGAATATTCTAATCTCGGTGAGGTTACTAAAAAGTGCTTTGTGAATGTTCGTTGTATATTTTCTAGTACAATGCGGTTTCGTTTGTTTGCGCTACTGTACACCATCAAACGGTATGTCAAAAGCGGACGTGAAAGTGATGGATAGGCGCAGAATATCGATTCTTTTATGTTGAACGTTCTGAATAACATTATAATGCTTTATCTGGTCTTTGAAGTGACGTAGGTTACATGTTGCGGGAATAAGGCGAAAGGCGACCTGATAAGTTGCGGTAGATCGCTGATGTACATCAGAACAATATGCGACCTCTGGGTACTTTACAACTAGAGTTATATGACATAGCTACGTGTTCATGGTATCTGTAACATCCAAGTTGGTTAAATAAGGATATCTTCGATCAAATTGTTCAGTCATCTGTCTAGCCTCCGCTAATTTTAATGAATTTTCTACATGAACCTATTTTATTCATTACAAGCGACTTAGTATATAGGAGCAAAGTAGCAAAACTGGTGATGAAATGGAAATCCTACCTACAAATGGTGCACTGGAACCTTGGTAGGTTCAAACAAACCTCATGGTATGGGAGAAAAAGAGTTCGACTAAATTAACGACCAAAACAATCATATACACATAGTAAAGTAAGTAGGAATTGGCATTTTAGAAAAGCGAGGGAAGTCGTTTAGTTTGCAATTCCAATTTTTCACTGTATATTCAAGGTAGGTGTGCAAAGCTTTGCCTTTGCTTCCAGCTGTTGTGTCTACTGATAAAAATATTCCCACTTTTTACGCACTTTCACCGTTCCATACGTGCAAGTGCAGCCTATCCAGATGAAAAGAAAATTCTTTGCTGTCACGAAGTGCGGATGTAATGCTAAAGACAATTATTCACATATTCTATTCTTATTACAATTAAATTAGTTATTCTTGTGCGACGATGGAAATCTCCTTTGCCTAGTTATCATTTTAGTCCACAAGCACACACCAGAACAATTCTATTTGCCTCCAAAATGTGTGCTTATTCTGATTAGGGAAATTTAAGCCAAACATTTGCTTGTTCAGTACCACATTCCTCAGTATTTCGAGACGGGCATCATTCTAAAGACGTGATCAGTGTGTGCAACAAGTTCAAAAGCTAAGGCAAATTTATACATAAAAATCCCGCAATACAAAGAAGGCCCAGAATTTATGACAGTCAAATAGACGTGTAATACTTAAATTAAAAATGTGATCTTGCTCCAGAGTTGACTGGAGTAGTGCCGGCTACATGCGCTTCTGTTGCGTATGAACTTGTACATTTTGCAATAACTTGATTAGCTGCCACAAAGAACTATCAAGGCCCAATTATGTCAGCTGACGTATGTCGCACGCCTTGCAGAAACTTTTCCCACTTCTGGTGTTCCTCCGAAAATTGGTTACAATCGACACTCAACGCCAGTGACTATAACTTAAGTTACTAAGATTTCGTACTCCTGGACACGTTAAATGACTGCAGCCAGGCGCTCTCGAAGCACTTCTGGGGAGCGACCAACAATGAGTAGATCGTCCAGATACGCGGCCATACACGCAATACCAGAGATCATCGCATCCATCGTCTGTTGGAAAATGGCTGGAGCGGATTTGACACCGAACGGGAGCCTGGTGTACTGGAGATGACCAAGATGCGTATTGATTTTCAGGGGGGCTTGTGACTCAGGGACGACCTCAATCTGCAAGTAGGCGTTTGCCAAGTCGAAATTAGCGAATCACGTGCCACCGTTGAGCATTGTGAAGAAGTCGGCTGGATTCGGTAGCGGGTAGCAATTTGGCTCCAGTGCTGCGTTGAGACCGATGGAGAAATTGGCACAGATGCGGAGAGATCTATCCGGCTTTGTGACCACGACGATCGGCGCTGCCCAAGCGGAAAAGGACACAGGCACCAGCAAGCCCATGTCTTCCAAACGTTGGAGTTGGGCATCGATCCAAGGTAAGGCTGCGTATGGGACAGGCCTTTTGGGACGGAATACCGGTTAAGCACCAGGTACGAGCTGTAACGTAGCGCAGGTTCGTGTACAGCGGCCAAGACCATGCTAGAATACCGGGGCCAAATATCTGATGATATCTTCGGTTCGGTCACTTGGTACTGTTGGAGAATGTACCGCATTGTAGCTGGCCTGAAGAGGGAGATCGGCGAAGCAAAGAGTTTAGAGCCAGTCGAGAATAAGCAGGTTGTGCTTCGCCTTCGTGATGTAGCAGGTCGCGTTGAATGTGCCGCCCCAGAAGGAGACGGAGCAGTGCAGATGCACAGTTAACTTTACGCAACCACCACAGGCGGTGGTGTCGTATTGGGAGGTCGGTTCGAACAGTGGCTTGACAACTGATCGCCAGAGATCCTCAGAGATGATCGTGATGTCCGACGCAGCATCCAACTGCAATGGGACCGACTGACCGTTGCTCAAGACGTGGAGGAATTTTCTCCGATGCGCAGTTGATTTGGAACGTGGCCAGCAGGCCCAGGGAGTTGCCAACCAGACCAGGTTTAGGTGTGTGTCTGGGTCGGGATATCTTCTTCTGACCGCGGATGGTGGCCAGCCCAGGTTTGGCTCCCTTGGCTGGTGCGGGCTGGCGGTAAACTTCCCGTTGCCTAACCCTGACACAACGTCCACAACGATGCTGCCGGAAATTGCAGTCCCGGTGGAAATGCCAGGCACCATAGAATCGGCACTCGTACGGTGGGGACTTCGTGTGGTCGGATTGGGTTGGACTCACGGATGACTGCCCCCTCAGTGTTCTGACTGCCTGGACCATCCCAGATACGGCGGCGTTCTGTATCATTGCAGAAACGTGCTTCAGATTGAGCAGTGTTTGACACTTCTCGGCCAGGTTCTGGAGTGTAACTGAGCTACCCTGTTTTAGCTTAGACAGGAGGCGCGTCCGGATATCGGCATCGTGTGGAGACTGGAGGCCAGGGACGGAAAGCAGGCATTTGAATTGGTCCTCGATAAGTGAGCCAAGTTGAAAACATTGGCATTCAGGGTTGACCACACCCGCGCACGTGATGAAGTCGTCGGCATCACGTTTGGCCAGCTGCAGACACTGATAACGAGCACTGAACCGGTAAAACTGCAAGCCAAAAATCTGGGACAACGTTCGGACCGTCTCGTCCAAGCTAATGTCACGTGGGTTCCTCGGCAAGATGAAATTGGCGTAGCGCTGGTGTTCGGGCGTACCAAGTTTGCGAAGACGTAGCCGGACCTTCTACGCGTCGTCTTGGCAAGCCAAGTCAGTGGTGAACAGGTCCTAGTACCGTTTATACCAAGATTTGAACGTGACGCCGGCCTTGGCTTCGTACAGGAATTCGTTGGTGCCGCTAACCAC